TTAGTTTATGGAGAGATCGATTTGAACCGATAAACTATCTTTTGTTCTAGCTCAAAATATGTCCAATCTTCATCTTTTTTTGCTCTTAGTTTACTTGAAGAGAGACTTTTCAACATAGCGACCTGTCCTAATCCCCTTGGGCATACGCTCGTCTTCTTGAATGGGAGTTTCAACAACTACATTGTCTTTTTACCTACGAGCGATCTCCTGCGGCCTTACTTTTATGGTCAGCTTTTTATCCCTCCGTCTAGTGGATTCATTAGCGGGTTGATGGCATAGTATCTACTTGGGTACTCCCCTCAACCATTGAAGAATCAACTTCTTTGGTCATAGAAGATGTAAATTCACCCATTTCTTGGCAAACTGCCCATCAGTCATGGAGGGTCTTGCCTCCTCTCTAGTTGATCGCTAAGTAACACTTGTGGCTAGTGTTGGGGCGAACATGAGACCTAGAAGAAAATATTTTCTCGTAATGATTACTAATTCACTAGTTACTTCCTTTTGAATAACTACTTCAAAAGAAGACATGGAGCCAAATAATTTAGCTTACTTGCAATAGTGATCTTCGTACCTCTCTGTTCAAGCCTTTATAAATAAAATTGTCATATGAATAAAACAATTATCAATACATTAAAAGAGAAGCTAGAGAAGTCTAATTAGAGCTTTGCTCAACAATTGTTGTGACTTGTTCACCCTCCATCTAGGGTAGTAGATCATCATCTTCTTCTGATTTGTTGTATATGTGAGGTTCCAAAAAAAATTTTAAGAGTATACTAGAAATAAATATGATTTATCTATCATTGTTCAGCCAAACTTGTAAAATAAGTTATTAGAGTACTTATGAGCTTGCATTTTCCCCATGATGGTGTAATCCAAGACACTCTTAGCATCCTTATGGCGTCTTTCATAAGCACACACCTGCCCAACTTCTCTGAGGTTGATTGGATTCTACTCATTTGGGGCCTTATATAACACCCAACAGTTGAAAAATTAAGTAAATACAACAATTTGGAAAAGTACCCCAAATTTTTTCATCTCTCATAATTCAATCAAAATAATTTTATTAAATTCTATGCATGAAATTGATCAATTCGATATAAAGTACCATAAATGAATTGTTAATGGTTGAGATATATAAAATTGAGAAGTTTTAAGTTTTATTAACTTAATTAATTCTTAATTATCCTAATTCATCCTTTAATCGCTCGTACTCTTACTATTCCCCTCCTCCTTTTACACCTTTTAGTCATCGAATTCGATCGAATAGGAATTCCCGAGATTCAATTGTGCCCTGCCAATTCCCTTCTACTCTCTTTCACGATTTCCTCCCTCATTGCAGTGACTCAGTTGCGGCTTTGTAGAGGAGTTGCGACACTTGCTACAGTGCAAGGTGCGCGAGCAGCAACCGAGCACCCACAGGGAGGCCGCAGTTCGTAGCAAGGCTTCGAGGATGAAATTAAAAGGTAGGAATTTCTCTTTCACGCTATTTCCTTATCCTTCCACTTTGACCTTTGCCTTACTTTTTGTGCTTTTCTTATTTCTGGTAGAATCGAAGGCGTCGATCATGTGTTGGAAGCGTCAAAAGTAATTTGAAAGGTTTCATATGACTTTTAGCACAAAATCAACAAGGCAAAATTGAAGATTAAGGTGTTAGGAAGTGTTGGGGAGAGATTTGCTATTTTTCACAAAGGCGAATGTATGTTGAATCCCTTTTAAGGTATGTTTTGACATTTAATGTTTATTTTGGGGTTAATCATGCAGGGAGCCCAAATTTTATGAATTCCTACGATGCTTATGATTCCTAGGTTTTCTATATGAGGCGGCGAGCTCAAGTCGAGCGTTCGGGAACTAGCAGTAGGGCAGCTCCGTCAAATCACCTGAAGTATTTACATACTAATTTTAAAAAAATAATCTTCTATAGGTTTTCATTTGATTTTCAGTTTGGCATAGATGCATTTAGAGTTTTGTTGCATGTTGTAAATGAATATCTACAATTGAATGTATGAACACATGTTTACCGTTCTTACAATACATATGATGTTATGATCATGCTATGATACATATGACCATGTTTATGATATTAATTGTCTGCAGGTATTCATTTATTATACTTCATGCCTATGATACATGTGATGCCTGAGAAATGTTTGATGCAAGAATGATGATTTAAATGTCACGAGTAATGTATGGGTAGATTAATGTATTCCCAACTAAATGCCACAGTAATGTATGATTTAAATGTCACGAGTAATGATGATTTAAATGCTTGCAAGTACACTTTGCAGGGATGTATTCCCAACTCTAGATAGTTACGGGGATGAAACTCTCGGAATTGTTGGGATTAGGCGGTAACAGAACTTTAGAGATTCGTATCAGGGGGGCTATCGATAACTGTCATGTTGGGGGAAGCTCAACTTTTATCGATAGTTTATATAACTTTTGGGACAGGGTGATGACCAATGATGAAAAGACATGGAAATATTTGAGCCTTATACATTAAACAAGTAATATTACTATGAAATGACTTTTATGAAATTATAT